GTTTTTTTTGTGATTTTGGACAACATGCTATACTGACTTTTTTTCATTTTGGACGACATGCTATTTTATGTTGTTTTTTCACGTTTTTTGACGACATCCTACACTTTGAAGTTTTGTCAGGATTTTTGACGACCTGTTATACTATGACTTTTTTTCATGATTTTGGATGACATACTATACTATGACATTTTCTCATGATCTTGGACGACATACCATGACGTGTTTTCATGATTTTGAACGATATATGAGCTGTTGCACATCATAGTGCTGGCTCGGGTGTGGGTCCGACCAGTGCAGGACTCTGCCGTCCCCTCTTCTCCCAGCAAAGCAGTATCTTAACGGTGGGAGTAAGGCAGAGTGATCTCATCTGATTCAGTGCCTCATATTATAAAGTCAGTCTCTCGGAGCTGAGAAATCCCAGAGGAAACACTGACAGATCAGGACTAAAGGACTAAAAAGCAAAAAATACAAAAAATACAAAAAAAAAACAAAACAGACATCAACAAAAGATAAATAATATAAATAAAATAAGCAACATTCAGGGGCGCCAGTGGCTTAGTGGCAGAGCAGGCGCCTCATGTACAAGGCTGTTGCTGCAGCGGCCCAGGTTCAAATCCAGCTTGTGGCCCTTTGCTGCATGTCATCCCCCCTCTCTCTCTCCCTTTCCCCCTTTATGCTTACCTGTCCTGTCCAATAAAGACAAAATGGCCAAAAAAATATCTTTAAAAAAAACAAAACAACAACATTCAGACACACCCGGTTAACAGACAACAGTTTTAGCAGCAATAGACTTTGTAAAGTGCATTGATTAAGGTGAAATATCACCTTGACGGCTTGTGGGAAGAAGCTGTTGAGCATCCTGCTGGATCTGCAGCTGATGCTTCTGTATCTCTTTCCAGATGGCAGGAGGGAGAAGATGTGGTGAGAAGGGTGGTGAGGGTCCTTGATGATGGAGGTCGCTCTGCGGATGCAGCACTGCTGGTAGATCTCCATCAGGAAGGGGAGGGGAGGGGGGCACCAATGATCCTGCTGGCTGTCTTCACTATCCTGTTCAGCTTTTTCTGTTCATAAGCCTTGCAGTTACCGAACCAGGAAGTGAGGCCGTATGTGAGGATGCTTTCAGTGGTGCCCCTGTAGAAGGTGGTGAGATGAGCAGTGGGGAGACCTATTTTCCTGAGTCTCTGGAGGGGGTGGAGCCGCTGCTGTGCTCTTCTGATGACTGCTGTGGTGTTGATGGTCGAGGACAGGTCATCAGCCAGGTGGACCCCCAGGAACTTCACACTGCTGACCCTCTCCAAAGCAGCCCCGTCAATGTGCAGCGGTGTATGATGTTGTTTGCTGGCCCTCCTGAAATCGATCATCATCTCCTTTGTTTTGTCCACATTGAGGGTGAGGTTGTGGGATCTGCACCACGTTGTCAGTTGATCCACCTCCAACCTGTATGCAGACTCGTTGTTATCATGGACGAGACCCACCACTGTCGTGTCGTCAGCAAACTTTATGATGTGGTTATTGCTGAATCTGGCCCTGCAGCTTTGCGTGGGTTGACGCTGGCGAAGGCCTTTTTTACTCCAGTGGTAGACAGCTGGAGTACCTGGTCGCAGGATGATGGCAGGAGTGACGTGTGAAATGTGTTGTGATATTGTAGCTAGCTTACATTGGCATACTTTCTAACGCAGACAAATTGCAAACTAGCTAATGTGGCAAAATGTCTTGAGTGTATACGACACCCTCAGTAAACTGTGACCGTCATTTTATTGTTCTAAATGCCATTCTCAAATACCAGCAAGCGTTAATGAATGTGGAGTAGAAGTAGAAAGTGTTGGATTACTTCAAAACAGTACTTGAGTAGTGTACTGTGATTGATCTCCTCTGCAGGATGCATGTAAGGAGATCTGTAAAAATGTGACTTGCCCTCTGTAAGCCTCGCTATGATTAGATTAGAGGTAAGAAAAACCTAATCAATACAAGGTTCAGAGCTGCCATTAGGACTCATTAAAAATGGATGCTATGAGAAGAGCACAGTGTCAAATTAAAAGTAATCAGAGCTCATTGTTAGCAACCTTCAACATATACTAAATCTATGGAGCAGTGGATGTGTTCCTCGGCGGACATTTTACCTTCACCCCAGCCTGCCTTGTGTTCCAGACAGGTATGAACATATTCTGAATTTCCTTTGACTGGAGTGTTAAATGACGT